TCTTTTTTTTTTTTTTCTTGTGTAGAGATCACTGCTTTCAGTGACCGGTATGAAGAGTTTCAGAAGCTGAACACAGAAGTTTTGGGTGTATCTGTGGACAGTGTGGTAATACTTTCTATTACCGTTAAAAACTGTTTCTTTATGTTGTTAAGCTTACACAAGCAGCTAAAACTATAGTATATGTCGGTATTGAACTTTTTTTGCGATGTTCGACTGTCTCCGAGCCGTGATTTTCCCATTGTTGATGTATTTTTGTTTAATGCTTCATTGTAGTTTTCCCACCTTGCATGGGTTCAAACCGACAGGAAGTCTGGGGGTCTCGGTGATTTAAACTATCCATTAATTTCTGATGTGACCAAATCGATTTCAAAATCATACGGCGTGCTCATTCCCGATCAGGTATATTTTAGTGTTTCATATAATTCGATAACTTTTGGTTTGTGATATATTCTGCTAAAACTGTGTTTTTACAACGTATTAGTTTAATCGTGGGATATCTCTTGGCTACGAATACAATCTGAAATTCTGTTTGATGATTATTTTTATCCGGAACTCTACTTCAGCTCAAGTTCTTCAGTTTTATTTATAAATTTCATCCACTTTGCTCTTAGTTTTATTTATAAATTTCTTCAGTTTTATTTAAACAAAATTACTCAATTCATACTCAAAATCTAACTCAACTTCAACCCGACCATACTGCCCTCAATATAATCAATATAATTAAATTGTAACAATCAATCATTTTTACACATCTCATAAACTTTAATTCATAATCTTAACTATCACTTCGTGTAATCTCTCTCCTACTTTCACATCAAATTAAATTTACTTATTTTATTTTTGTTATTATTTTAATATAAACTCAAAATTTCACTAACAATTAATCATCTCACTTTTTTTCCAAATTAACCATGGTTAACAAAAAAAGAAAACTCATCTTGAGCGGATTTATTGTGTTTGTTCATAAATATTTCCAATTCATACTCAAATCTATATTTTAAAATCAAACTCAGCTTTAATCCAACTCAACTATCATCAATATTATCAAAATAATCACATAATATCAAACAACATTCTTACTAGCCAAAACGTTGCAGAACATTGTTATTGACCATTGTTGGTACTGTTTCAGGGAATTGCATTAAGAGGGCTATTTATCATTGACAAGGAGGGAGTTATTCAACACTCGACGATCAATAACCTGGCCATTGGCCGTAGTGTTGATGAAACACTCAGAACTCTTCAGGTTCTCTCTCTCTCTCTCTCTCTCTCTCTCTCTCTCTCTCTCTCTCTCTCTCTCTCTCTCTCTCTCTCTCACACACACACACACACACACACATAAGTGGTAATATACACGTAAGAATGCCTTAAGCTACATAGTTTCTGTTATTTAGTACTCAATTTATGACTTCCCAATAATCTTGAACATGTGGCACCCATCAATTGTAATCAAAAGACAAGATGTTCGATAGATGTGTTTGCACATATATAATGGTTATGATTTTTTCGAGCTCATATGTATTGTTCTTAATGCCCTTTTTGGTCAGGCTTTGCAATATGTGCAAGAGAACCCGGATGAGGTGTGCCCGGCTGGATGGAAGCCCGGCGACAAGTCAATGAAACCCGACCCGAAGCTCAGCAAGGAATACTTTTCCGCGATTTAGACTTGGTTTTGGTCCAAGAACTACTACATTGTTGTTGTTGTCATTTAGATATATTCTGAGGATTTTTCTTTTCCTTTGGTTGGGTAGCTTTGTTTTGGATTGAACTTTGAGAAAATTGTTGGATTGAGTAAAGTGCCCAGATCATATCCTTTTTCTTTCTTTCTATTTTTCAGATTTGTGAATTGTGATAATTGGTTGGCCTCCTTTTAATTTTTTGTTTATTTATTTATTTATTTTTTTGGTCAAATTACGATAATCCAAAATAAAATTATCTGTAAACCATTTATAAAAGAGTCGTAAAAAAAAATGTAATGTAGAAACTAATGTTAAAAATAAATTGTAAATGTTCAATTCATAAATTGTGGAAATTTGTGCATCTATAATTAAAAATAAATATGAATGTATAAATAAAAAGGTTCATTAGATTAGAATATTTTTAAGGTGTATAATACATTATGTTAAAAGGTCCGATCCTGAGTTTGTATTTATAATTAAAAAAAATATGAATGTATAAAAAAAAAAGATCCATTAGAATATTTTAAGGTGTATAATCTATATCTATCTAATTACTAGCTGATGCATTTAATAAAACATTTAATAAAAACCTATTTTCATTTCCCTCCAAAAGGAGTTACATTTTTTTTTAATTAATTACTCATTAATCTGTTAAACCCGTTACACCTTAATATATATATTTATTATTTATTTTTTGAATTAGTTACTAAATTAATTCAAATTTGGTAGCAAAATATTCAAATATGTAATGGCTAATGTTTGGAACTTATGTTGATTGGCACATTCAGAGATGTAACCACTATATTTGGTTGCATTGTTGGAAGAAAAGTATAATTGACACATATTTTTTTTTAATAAAAATCAGAAACACCAATATTTTTTTTATTTATGTTAATTTTCTCAATATATGCCACAAATATATAAATTATTTTAAACGTTGCATGGTTAAAATAAAATTTAAATCTCAATTAATTTTGGATGATAAAAATAACTTAAGAAAAAGTAATAGTTTTTTTATGATAGAAGTACATGTCTAATTAATAAATACAAACAAAATTTGTTTTATGTCTGTGCAAATGCACAGGATCAAATACTAGTTGAATCTTATTGTAGATCTAAAAAATTTGGTAAAGGTTCTGCACTATCTACCACAATTATGGGCCAAATGAATGTAAAGTAAAAATGTAAATTTATTATTATATCACATGTCTAGTCATACTCAACAAATGCAAGATCAAATATTATCTCCAATCTTTCTCATTGTCAATCTTGGCAAACAAACATAGAACAAATATAGTCTAAAAAATATTATCTTACTATTCAAGATCAAACTCTGTTGCGTTATCCCACCAGGATATTATTATTTTGCGTGTTTCCTATATTGTACTAGTTATACCCCACATTTGCACGAAAAATGATTTAATAGAAGTGAAATAATAACTTAATGAATGAGAAAATAGTTATTTAAAAAGTGAATGAAAATATTATTAAACCTTTCTTTATATAAAACATTCGTAATTTTCTTATCGTCATAATCTTCATCACAACAAATCATTATTGTTAAATTTCTTCGACTTGTGACTTTAGGATTTGATTTTCAAAATATTTGATGTATCCTTGTAATATCCGAAATATTGTATGACTGCAATAGAAAATAGAGATATTTGTAGTCATTTTTAATTAATTGTGAATTATGTATTCATTTAATACTCATGACATAAAAACGCGCTACAAAAATGGGACCATCTAAAATGAGACATGTCAAAATAAATTGTGTAACTGAAAGTTACATATAATTAAATGCAACCTATTTTTGTTAAATGACCTCATATTATTATTAATTGAAGCTGAATAAATTAAATGAAGTTTGCCCCTAATTATATATATATAAATTAAATGAGTACGTTTTTACTTTTTGGTACACAACGTTAAATCTGAAGCAGAGAGTCAGCATCACCCGTGGAATTCACTTTTTTTTTTTTGGACAAAAAACTCACTTATATATTTTTTTAATGAAACGACATGATTAATAAACTCAAACGAAAGATACCCTGTTGGAGCAGCATGTTATGAATCGAGTATCGAGTATCAAATTTGTATCAAAACCCGCACTACGGCCTTGATTTTGACACGGATTTGTGCTCGAAAATGAGCTTTTCATCTGAGTTTTTTTATAAAAGATAAAAGTAGTCTTACAATGTTCCAAAAACAACATAAAAACGATCCTACTAACTACCCAAACCCACTTGAAAAGGAAAACAAACTGCTCCCGCCCAGGCCTTAGCGAGGTGAAGGACAATTAGCGGCCGCTAACCAATTCAACGTAATCTCTCTGTCCCTGCTATCTATTGTTAGCGCCGCTATTTTCCCAACCTTAGCGCCACTAAGGGTGGTCAGCGGCGCTATCCCCTGGACAACTGCCTTTTGTCTGCATCTTCATTCTTGCTCGCCAAGCCCAGTTATACGCGTTCTTCAGCTGATGGCCCTCATCCACATCATTTTCGTCCCCTTCAAGAGTGTCCTTGTCCTCAAGGACAAAATTTGGAAATTGAATCTGCATATCTTGTAAATTTTATCCAACAATCTCGTATTTTCCTTAATTTTCTCCAACAATCTCGTATTTTCCTTATTTTTCTTCATTTTTTTACTTTGTAACATATTCGGTGTTTTAAAACTTCAAAGTAACTCTCAATTTAATGGTGTTATAATTTTGTTAATTTCAGAACTTAAGTTGATAGTTTTATAACATTTAGGTCCTGAATTGAGAAAAAAATCTTTTAGTCCCCGATTTGATAGTTTACCTTTCTTTCAGACCTTGTATTGAAAAAACTTCTAATATATATATGAGCAGTTGGGAGGAAAGAGAAAGTTATGTTAGGGAGTGTAGTGAAAAAAAAATGACTTACACTATATTTATCCCAAACCCAACCCAACGCAACTCAATAATAAAAATTATTTCTCTCGCATTCACCTACACAACCCAACTTTTAACAACCTACATATCTTTATCCCTAACCCAACATACTATTTATTTTATTTTTATTTATTAGATACTATCTACAATAGATTTTTGTTATTGTTTTAGTTGTGAAAAATTAATTAAAAACTCTATAATTAAAAATATTGATTAAAAAAATTAATATTTTAAAATACAACTAAAAAAAAGATTACGAACATACTTAAAAATTGAAATTAGATAAATTACATCGACTTTCCAAATAAAATTATTGTTAAATGACGTATCATCTCTTCATCTTCCGGCGATAAGTGGTCTTTTGCCAACAACGGATTCAACGCCATCATATTCCTTTTCCGAATCTTCTTTTTTTCTTTCTTGCGTTCCAACTCCATCCTATCCTTCGATATTTTTGTCATTAAATCACATTCGTTCATTCTTGTAAGTCTTAGTGCACGAATTTCTGCAGTGGACTCATTTGGAATGAAAGAAGATTGTAATGCTACATTTTAACCTTTCTTTTTCGCCATATCTCTACCTTCGAGACGGGGAATAACAAAACCATCACTAACTGGAGTTTCTGGATTTGAGGGAATGAATAGTCTCCATCTTCAGTAGTACTTGATCTTTTGGAACTACCATGACTTTCTTCATTACTCGCTTCATCTTCAGGGCGTGAACGAGTTAAACCAGGATCAAATTTTAATTTCCTTTTGGGATGCTTTCGCATGACTTTTTCAAACACATGCAAGTCTGTAAACTTGCTACCACCAACTTCATAAATGATATGAGCTTCTTTTTCAACATTTTTCATGATCATTCCGCTCCTTTTATTTCTGTATGCTTCCATGTAAGCACCTCTCCACTTGTTTACATTTTCATTAAAGCGTTTATAACGACCTTTCGTTGAATCCAAATTTCTTTCACTAATTCTTCATGATTTTCCAATCGAGCTTGCTCAAACATTTGAGCTATGCATGACCATAATGAAGAACCCTTCTGATTCTTGTCACACATTTTGTCTTCGCTAACAAAACACCAAGCTGACATTAGAGCAAGATCTTCTGCCACACTCCAACTAATATTTTTCGTTTATTTTTTAGGATTTGTGCGTGTTTGTTGCACATTTTGAAATAAATTTCGAGAGATGTTTTGTGGGGGTTGGACATTTACAGAAATTGGAAATTGGGTAAGATTAGGAAAAATGACTCTTGTAAATAATTTTCGAAATTCTGAAAATTTTCAGAGTTCGAAAAATTTTGAGAATTGAGGTAATACTCAAAATTTGGATCTGGTATTTGTTGGAAGTTAAGAAAAATAAAAAAAATGATAAAATTAATAAGGTATAATTAAGAAAATGGTGAAAATAGAGAAATTTCAGTTGTGAATTAAAACATATAAAGAGTGGTCTCTATATATAAAGAAAAAAAATACGAATTTTGATATTTTTTAATATATAATAAGTTCAATAATTGATTTATCTTAAACCATTAAAATTATGGTGGCCAATCAGAAAAGGACAAGTGTCCTATTCCTTATCCAATCCCACCAATAATTAAATTAAAAAATAAAAAAGTTTCACGCCCGATTGCGCCCCAAGGTCACAATGTGACTTGGTTTGCCTAATTTCCTTCTTTTTTATTATTATTTTTTTTTTTTTGTCTTT